GAAAAATAAAACTGGGGCGAAAAATTTCCAGAACAAAGTACCATTACTTGCCTGCCTGTTGTACTATAACTCCTCCAGCCTTACAATATTCTATAATCATTGCTTTCATGCGATACCCCCCAGTGGATTGATGGTCTCTTTTCCAAATTATATGCACCTTCTAAAAAGAATGAATTTGTCAATTTATAAAATTTAGTATTACAAGTTAATAAAGACAGTAAAACAATGTTATCAACATTTATATGCAAATGAACCTCTGTATAAATCACTAATAAATGATTGACAACTTGTATGGAATATATCGAATACCCTTAATTTTGCATTTGGAAACTCAGCATTAAGGCCAAACAAAAAAATATGTGTGGTTCCAGTTACACCTCCAAAAAAATAGGGTAGGTAGGGATTTTTTTTTTTTTTTTTTTTTTTTTTTTTTTTTTTTGGTACAAAATAATTTTCTAAATTTTTCTAAATAATACCTATTTCTTTTCGTTAGCATAAGTGAACTATTTTATGTGTAGAGTGTTAGATATGTTTTCTCTTAAGCATATGGATTAGATATGTGCTTTAATGTGTGAATAAAATGTCTTGGGTATTTAAACAGTTGTCTGCCGATTCTATTCATTCGAGTTCATACTCATCTAGAAAATACAATGTTTGAAGAAAATCAGCATGAGCAAATTGAATTATTTAACTGTTATTTGGATATTATATTTTCTTTTTTTAGAATGTTATGTGTTTACGAAGATGATATGTGCTATCCTTGTTTTTAAAGGATGATATTAATTTCAGAATTGTATATTATAAGTAAAATTAATGGATATCTTAAGCATTATACATTAAATCTTAAATATAGATCATGATTTCTCTATCGGAAGTCTTTATACAGGTATATAAAATCTAAAATTGTACATTATAGAATGCGAAAAAACAGAAATATTTTGTGTAGAGCTGAGTATATAACTCATAACTAATAAATGTTTTGTTTATTTTGAATTCAGTCTTTTCCAACTATGGTTCAGAAAAGAAATGTTTTATTTGTGGATGAACAGAGTGAAGGAGAAAATAAGTGGCATTTCGATGTGGCGTTAAATATACTAGTCAACATTGGCAGGGGGCACCCTAGTTAAGAATATGAAACAAATATTTTTAAATCAAAAATAATGAAAACACAATCTTTTCTTTTTGTAAAAAATAAAGTCCAAAGTGAACATCCTTTTTTTAAAATCAGTGTTTATAAATGAAATTAATTAATTACTTTGATCCAGAACAGTTCTTATTTTACTTAATAATAAATTCTGAACTATAAACTAGAAAACGGACATGAAAGTTCTGCTAAGAGCTGTCGGAGGAAAAGAATGTGACACCTACACTTTGTACAGTAATGTTTAAAACAAAATAAATCACCTAAGCAAGATGACATAGAATCATTCAAATTTGTCAGAATTACAAATATTTAATATTATTAAAATTTTAAATCCTTTCAAGAAACCTTTTTGCCTCATTGAAGACTTCATACTTCCAAGCTCATTTCTCATATATATTGGTGTTTTGCAAGTTGACTTTATTCATGTAAAATCAGCAGTCTTCTTTTTCACTTTTCCTCATGAACTGTTTTTTTTTTCTACTTTCGGTTTAAAAGAAATGATCCTGATATAAATTATTTAATAGTTTACAAGTTAATCTATCTTACACATTGGGCTAATTCTTGCGTAATCAATGCAATCAAATAAATGTTTTCTCATGTTATCTTCCCCCTAACTCCAAAAAATGTTACCTGGCCAGCTGTCTGTGTGCTTTCAAGCGAGAAGTGATTTCCTATCCTGACTTCACACCTTTGCGTGCATTAAATAATAAAGGGGCTAATCAGCATGCACTTGTTATAAACCAGCTGTAAACAGAGCAACTAACTGAATCTCGCCACTCTTGGGCATATTTATTTAATTTTGGCAACCAAAAAACAAACAAACAAAAAAACATGGCGCTGGAAAAAGGTATACTGCCACGCCATGCTAGCTTGCTTTAGATTTAACACCATCAAACACTTGCACTACGTGTTGAAACGATTTTTGCATGGAGGCCGCCATTGCTGGAACTAAAACTAATACCGAAGTGGATGATGGAAATTGCAGAAAATTCTGGAAAATAAATTTGAATATTGCCGAAAAAAAGTTTAGGGTCGGGGATCTAAAATAGGGACAGTCAGGTAATGGGAACCACACATATTTTTTTATTTGGCCTAATAATATTCCATACATGATTGAGCTGTCACCTGATGAACCTTTAATTCTTTTCTATTTTTATTTTTTATATGCTTTATATGTATATGAATTATAAGAGTAAATGTAAGTCCAAAAACTTATTTTGTGACATCAATTTCATACCTGTATTTGAGTTGCCTTTTTGAGGATATACCGGGTAGATTATTCAAAGTCGATGTACATGTAGTCTGAGATGCTGCAGTTCTCTTGTACTTTAGCTATAAAATAAATCTTAATGTATACAATTGTGTAAGATGAAAGAATATTTCAAACACTGCATGAAACAGACCAAAACTTTAACCAAAATATCCTCTATAACATGCTCTCTAAACTGAAGAATATGGTCATATAATTGCAGTCATATGAATTTTGTTCAATGATAAATGCAGAGAGAATTTGCAGAATATATAAAGAAAGTTTTATCGTTGGGATTGGGAAATAAGCACGTCTAGTACAATCTCTTAATTTAGCTATATAGCTTGAAATAGCTATTTAGCTTTATTAAGCTATTCAAAATAGCTTGATTTAGCTATTTATATGCAGTTTTGCATGTATTTGACTATTCACATATGTGCTATGGGCTATCGAAACAACAAGCAAAATCAAAGATAGCTCCAACTTTGCAACTTTTGATTACTTTTAAGCAAAAGATAAATTTCTATTATTTGAGTAACTGTCCACTACCTTGTGTGCATTGAGGCATGGATAAGTATGATTGCTTCTCATTGAATGTACAGAATTAATCAATTATCTTGTTGACCATAATTGGCCTCCTTTATAAATTCATTGAAGAAGTAACTGTATCAATTGCATATGTAGCCCAAAAACTTTTAGAATTTGAGTACAAAGTCTCTTTTGTTTCTATTTTCCTAATTATCTCCCCTTGTTTAAGGGTCACAACCCTAGTTTTAGTATAAACGGAAGCCCTTGGCCCAAGGATACCCTGTGACAAATTTGACAATAATTGGCCAAAGGGTTCTTGAGTTATGGCCCATATTCTAAAAAGTTTACGCACACCGCACAAATGGCCATCATAGCATTAGCTCTTTGGGCCTTTGGCTCAGAAGAGCTTAAAAAATGAACCTCTTACATTGACTTTTGGTCAATATTTTTTTTTACAGTTTTTTGTTTAGTTTTTTGATGAACAGTGTACAGTATTTTCACCCAAATTCCTGTATTTTGAGGACTGCTCTACAGTATTTGGGCCTAAAAATTATCACATGTATGCAAGGAGATTTTAATGAGTGAGTTTTAAATGCATCAATTTCAGATGAGTTCAAGGTTGAGTATCATCACTGCACCAAGGTGCGACTTTTTGTGCATGCTGAGAAAAGTAAACATTTAAGAAAAAGTGTGATAAAATAGCTAAATTAAGATATTCTGAACAGCTTAATAAAGCTATATATATAGCTAAATCAAAAGATTGTACTGGACCTGATAAGTGCTTTCAAACATTGAATACTTAATAAACTAGACCTACTGACATGCAACAGCTAAATTTTTGTTGATAAATGAAGCGTATTCTGAACAAATTATTTACCCAAACAAAGGTGATGCTGTCACAAGATGACGTTCGTACCCATCTGACACTTACACTACTCCTCCTTAATCAGCTGGTAATAACATCATTATCCTCGAATTCAAGAAAAATCTGTTAATAAATTAGTTGGAATGATGATAACAAAACTATTCTTATCAGATACAAATGTATAATATAAGACTTCTATTTCACCCAAGAATACCCAAGCAGGTGACATTCTCTGACTTGTTTACCTGTACTTCGATCGAAATTCTCCTCCTACTTGCTCGCACCCAAGCTTTTACGACCCTCAATTTATCCATCGTAAGTCGGAGAACCCTCCGGCTTTGTACAACTGCTTAAACTTTCCTTATACGCTTTGTGTAAACCATAAACATGCATGACCCAATACACATCTCCATGTGTGAGGTACCTGGAAGTTAATATTATCGAAAAATCTCGCGAGTCACATGACGAGACTTACAGACCCTAACGCAGCCCGAATTTGCTTGGTTCCAATGAAAATCTAGATAATCTTGAGGAAGGGAGCATTCATTATTTGTTGTTGTAAGAAATGCGAATAGGTGATATCACCTATTCGAATAGGTGATATCACTCATTCAAATTGAATAGGTGATATCACTTATTCGAATAGGTGATATCACTTATTCGAATAGGTGATATCACCTATTCAGCACGAATAGGTGATATCACCTATTCGAATAGGTGATATCACCAATTCATTTTGAATAGGTGATATCACCTATTCGAATAAGTGATATCACCTATTAGAATAAGTGATATCACCTATTCGAATAGGTGATATCACCTATTCGAATAGGTGATATCACCTATTCAATTTGAATGAGTGATATCACCTATTCGAATAGGTGATATCACCTATTCGAATAGGTGATATCACTTATTCGAATAGGTGATATCACTTTTTGGCAGTAAATACCAAAACGGCGCCTCATACAAAACCAAACCTTTAATACATGTTGAAATGCAGACGTCCATACTGAATATGCTACCCCACAACAAATTTCACATGATTATAAAGTATAAATCGTCTACACCAAGTGTTCTTCAGTGTAGACAAATCATACGCGCCAAGAAAAAAATACAATGATCCTGAATGCTGCATAACTTTTAACACTACTTTTATATTAATTCATGTTGAAAAATTAGCTTATAGAATAGAGGTGGAAAACGTAAATTACTTGTGAATGTCTTCTGAGATTGCACTCCATTGCCAGCGTCCCTGATGTTGTTCCTCTGTGCCGTCAGTCCAAACTAAATAAAAAGTATATAATGTAACACTATTTTAATTTAGGTGAATTATTCGAATCTGATTAAAAAAGAGGCCTTAAGGATCACCTTAGTATACTGTAAACGTGGAAATTTTGACGACGTGCTAATTTTGACTATATTGACGATTTCTCTTTTCTCGTCAAAATTTCCACTTGTCAAACTTCACATCATATATATATATATATATATATATATATATATATATATATATATATATATATATATATATATATATATATATATATATATATATATATATATATATATTGCGTCACAGCAGACATTGACCATTGTACAACTTTACTGCTTAATTTTCTAGGCTTTCCCTCCATTAAAACTAGATCGAAGTTACCGTTTAACTTCTGTTATACTATTACAAGTATTACACTATTGTAAAGGAACCACGGAAGTATTAAACTGGAGGTACTGTGATCGAGCTCACAAAATAATACCCCCCCCCCCCTTCAATGCGATACAATGTTTTTTAAAGTGCCTAATCAAATTTTGTAAATGTTACTTTGAACTTGCCAAAAAGACCTTGGATTAAAAAATGACACATCCTCTGTTTAAAAGTAGTCTTTTAGTGAAATATGACATTCAATGTTTCTTCATAAGAAAATTATGAACCTGTCATGAATTTTACACTTTTTATACCAGTACCTTGAATTTTTGAGGCCACAATGAACTTTGGTCAAGGTTATGACACACACAGGTCATAAATAATCTTTGTACTAAGTATGAGCTTCCAATGATTCTCCAATACAAAGTTGGAGTCTCACAATGATACAAAGATTGTGTATGACCTAAGGGTGTGCCATGACCTTGACCAAATGTCATTTCGGGACGTTGATAATAACTTTGTATTGGGGTTCACTCAAGTGACCTATTGCTACTGAGTATCTCTTTTCTTCCGTCGTCGTCCGTCGTGCGTCGTGTGTTAACATTTGAACATTTTCAGCTTCTGCTCTAGAACCACTGAACCAATTTCAATCACTTTTGCCATATAAGCATCTATGGGTGAAGGGGAACAAAAATTATGAAATTCATGGCCCCTGTCCTTGAGGGCTGGGGCTAAAGCCATAAAAATTAATGCAATCTTAAAAAATATTCTTCTTTACTCCTGGACATCAAGCAGTCAAACTGCTGGCATGATTGTAGTAAGCATTGAGTCCTCTGCCAAAATTGTGAAATCCATGGCCCCTGGATCAGGAGTTCTGGAGTTAGGAAGAGGCTCTAATGGTTACATTAGTGAATTTGTATTAATTCTTTAAAAATCTTCTCCTCTGCTCCTGGGTATTAATGAAACAAACAAAATGCATAATTATGATGGGGACATATGCCTTTTCCAAAATTGTGAATTTCAAGATTCTAGGGTCAGGGGTTCTGGAGTTAGGGCGGGGCTCTAATGGTTATATAGTGAAAATGCATTTATTCTTTGAAAATCCTCTCTTCTGCTCCTGTGTATTAAGCTGATGAACTAAGTACATAGTTATGATGAGGAAGAGTGCCTCTTCCAAAATTGTGATTTTCATGGCCCGTTGGTCAGGGGTTCTGGATTTAAGGTGGGGCACTAATGATTATATAGTGAAAATGCATCAATTCTTTAAAAATTTTCTCCTCTGTTCCTGGGTAAAAAGAAAAACTAAATGCATAGTTAAGATGGGGACAGATGCCTCTTCCAAAATTTCATGGCCCCCGGGTCAGGGGTTCTGGTGTTAGGGAGGGGCTCTAATGGTTATATAGTGAAAATGTATTAATTCTTCGAAAATCTTCTTCTCTGCTCCTGGGTATTGAGCTGATGAACTAAGTACATACCGGTAGTTATGATGAGGAAGATTGCCTTTTTTCAAAATTGTGAATTTCATGGCCCCATTGGAGGTGTGGGTGGGTTATTTAATACATACTGAAAATAAATTAATGTTTTATTGCCCCTGAGTCAGGGGTTCTGGTATTTGGGCAGGGCTCTATTGAGTAAACAGCAGAAATGCATTAAATACTTTCAAAATCCTCTCTGTCCTAGAGTATTAAGCAAACAGACTAAATGCAATAATATAAATGTAAATGTATGAGTATAAAAATCAGTAAATGTACCTTTTCTCTGCTCCTGGGTACCTAGGAGGCAGAGTACAAAATTGTAATAAGTGAAGCAAATGAGTTACTTCCCTTTGCTAAATTATGTTTAATCAAGAAATCCTTCTGTTTTATTTAATTAACAGGTTATTTGAATGAATGATAATACAAGAAATTTTTTTTATATAAAATTATATATAGAAACAAAATAAAAATGAATGTTTGGTTTAAACGAGTAAAGCATGTTCAAAATCGAATTCTTGCTTAGCAAGCGATATAAAGGATTGACATAAAGATAATTTTTGTAGCAGAGGGCTACTTGTACTTAGTATGTGTACACTGGGGTGTCCTGTTTGATGATAGAAAGAGTTATGGTCAGGTAAATTCATGGAGATCGGAGTTTAGATTGCTAGTGTCTGCTTGAAGTTGCTAGTGCTGGTACCAAGTATTACCAAGTTTATTGTATAGCCAAGAGGCAAGTGTTGGTACCAAGTGTTACCAAGTGGCAAGCAGCTAGGTTGTTTGTGAAGCCAAGAGACATCACTTCGAGTAAATATACAGGCATTAGAGATTTCTCTCTGTGTACTTAATTGTAGCACTAGGCAAATGGCAAAAACAATATCTGTAGATATTGAATACCTACACTCTCGGCAATTGTCCGTTGTATTTGTATATTTTACATTCATTATCATCCATGTAAGACTTGGGAAAACCAAGTATGATCCCAAGGAGATCACTCGGGTCTCATTTGTTACAATAAGTAAGAGTAATTTTACCAGATTTTTGAAATTCTTGAGCAAAATAGCTTCAATTATCAGTTAACTTTGTTTAATACTTCTATGGATCCTTTACAGTGTTGTATTATACTCAGGTGACCGTTAAAGCCCTTGAGCCTCTTGTATTTTAAATGATCAAAATTCTTGTACAATTCTCTTATTTAATTGAGCTTCCATTACATACGTTACAGTGATTAATTATTATAGGTGAATAGCAAAAGGGAATAACTTCTCTCAGTAGACTAAAAACAAACAAAGCCTCACCCTAGCACCAGAGGGCCTTGACCCAGGGGCCGAGAAATTTGCAATTTCGGAAGAGGCACCCTTGCTCTTCATAACCATGCACTATGAATGTTTCCTAGTAAATACCCAGGAGTAGAATAGAAGATTTTTAAAGAAATAATGCATTTTCATAATATATTTTTGAAGAGGCACCCTTGCTCATCATAACCATGCACATACTTTATCTGCTAAATGCCCAGGAGCAGAGATTGATTGATTGTATGAATGTTGCTTAACGTCCCATTCGAGAATTTTTCTTTCGTATAGAGACGTCACCTTATGCCAGAGAAGGGCTTCAAATTTAGACCTATACTCGGAATTCAGGGCTATTAAGCAGTGAGCATTCTTTATCGTGTCAACGCCTACTTACACGGGACCTCAGTTTTTAAGGTCTCATCCGAATCACCCGTGACTTTAACATCTAATGTCGGGCGTTTGGCGAAAGAACAGTCACTGTTTATGTTTACGTCTTTGGTTTGACGCGCGCTGCGAACGAGAATCAAACCCAGGTCTCCCGATCAAGAAGCGAACGCCCTACCACTAGACTACCATGACTGGTTCAGGAGCAAAGAAGATTTTCAACGAATTAGTGCATTTCAATATAATTGATAGAGCTCTGCCCTAAATCCAGAACCCCTGACTCAGGAGCCAAGAAATTCATAATTTTGGAAGAGGCACCCTTGCTCATCATAACTATGTACTTATTTTGTTTGCTTAATACCGAGAAGCAGAGAAGGTTTTCAACAAAAAAAATAATAGTATTGCACTTTCACTATATAATCAACAGAGCCCCCCTTCACTTCCCGAAAAAAAAAAAAAAAAAAAACAGAACGCCTGACCCTTGGGCCATAAATTTTACAATTTTGGAAGAAGCAACCTTGCTACCATAACTATCCACTTAGTATATTTTTGTAAATGTTACTTTGAACTTGCCAAAAAGACCTTGGATAAAAAAAATTTTCAAAAAATTCACGTATTTTCACTATATTATCAATAGAAAAAAGTAGAGTCCTATCCTTACATAGAACCCCTGATCCAGGGGCCATGATATTTACATGGAAGAAACACCCTTGCTCATCATAACTATTTAGTTGGTTTGTTTGCTTAATACCCAGGATCAGAGAAGAAGATTTTCAAAGAATAATGCATTTTCACTATATAAGCAACAGAGCCCCTCCCCCAACACCAGATCCCCTGACCCTTGGGCCACAAATGTCAAAATTATGGAAGAGGCGTCCTTGCTCATCATAACCATGCATTTAGTTTATCTGCTAAATATACGGGGGAGAAGATTTTTAAAGAATTTGAGCACTGCAATATTTAGTAGAGGGAAACATTACTTGATAAAATTGATATCAGGCGTCCATTATAAGCGCACGCGATCTGCATTTTTGTACAAATCACCTTGCATATTTAGTTAGTGGATGGCTTTAGGGTGATTTATGTATGTTATATATAAATTTTCACACCATTAAAATCAATGTCATGCGAGGTCGCACCTGAATATCAATGTCTGCATTTTTCATAGCGATTTCGGGCGAAATCTAACTTTTAAAATGATCGAATGACCTTTCTTTATCGTCTACTAAATTCCAAAAGCGTTTTAAACATGTAATACAACACAACATCCTCGATACTCGGCACAGATAATCGAAAGCAACGCAAGTTAATATCGATATATACGACATTCAACGGATTCTTACAATAGGACTAATTTGAATAACCTCGCTCTTCATTCCAAACGGCGTTTAGCAATATTTAATGCTCTCTCTTATTGGCTAATCTTTTCAAAGAGACTGGTTAATAGGCGGAGGTAAAAATCAAAGAAGCACAGATACATGTAACCCTCCCCCC